CATTCTAGACTGAAGTGAAAACTAGACGTTCTTTTTTCCAGCTTCTGTGCGTCCCTGAGTGTGGAGAAGGAGCCCAGAGCTCCCAATGCTATGGATAAAATAGCTCGGGTCCCTGTACCTCAATCAACTGGACTAACTGTCCCAGAGATGCCCAAGCTCCTGATAAGATGCTGTTCTCCAAACAGCCTTGCTACACAAGCTGGCTTGAGACCACCAGGCTGACTGCATCTTGCTCTTTTGATTTCTGTTTAGGTAAAGGCTACTGGAAGATCACCATCAGGTTCAAATATCCAAGTGAAGTCTTCCCTCACTGTCACATCTGAAGAAACCGCCATTGCTAACCCCCTTCTTGTCTTCCCAATTCCCAGCTTTCTCTCCAGTGTGCACCATCATCCAATATATGCTTTCTTCCTCACCCTCCTAACGTCCTAAGCATGACAGCACAGGTTTTTGTCTGTTTTAATGATTACTGTATCCTCTGGACCTAAAACAGTACAACAGATGAGAGACACTGAATGAAGGCAGGTCCCGGAAAACCAGCTGCCACTGCATTCTTTGACAAGAGACACTTGTGCCTGCTGACCCTTCTGAGTGTTTCCTCCCTACTCTTAACACTTACTTGGCTCCAAGGTTGCCTTTGATGATGGGCGCCGTGACGACGTTTTTGCCCTTCATGGGCTGGCTAATCATAGAGAGTGGAACTGTGATCCGTGTGGGCAGCTTCCCCTAAAGAGAAAAAACCATCAGTTCTCATGAGTTGGGACCCCAGTGCCACCCGCAGGCATACAAGAACCGAGGAGCAAGCAGACAGATGCCTTTCTCCCTCTCAGCCTCTAAGACCCCAGTGCGCCTGAGGTTCCATCGACGCAGCCCTCAAAAAAGTGGGCACAAACTCTGGTCAAATGCTCATATACTGTGAGGCTAGGTCTCTTTGGATCTCGTATCCTCCTCTTTCATGTCACATGAAGAGTGGCCATACAGAATCCCTATCCTTGGGATCAGGTAGAATGTGTACTAATCACAAAGGGAAGTATATATCTATCTCTAGTTTATCGGGGTCCTGGATGCTCAGCCCCCCAGCGGCTCTGGAGCTGCCCATATGGCACCCATAGTAACTGTCTGGGGAAGTAAAGGTAAGAAGGGCAGGGGAACGCCCTCACTCCTGCTCTCCTGGAATGCGAGCTCAGCGGCAGGTACAGGGCACATGTGATTACAACAGGTCATACTGCCCAGGAGTTTTCGGTTTCTCCTGGAGATAGGGCGGTTAGTTACGGGATACTGATAAGAAACCCAAGGGGGGAGGGTCCAGGCCCAAACTAAGAAGGCCTAAGCAGAACAACAAACAGCAGGAAAGAACGTTTAGAAGCCCAGGTCCTTTGGGATTCCAGGGTGACGAGGATAAGGTAGCAATATTACCAGTGTTTAGACTGATTTTTAATGCTTTTACTGTGTAATAAAATGTAGACAGTAAAATCTTACCTCAAGGAAATCAAAGGTGGGGTCAAAAGGACACTAAGAAAAAAAGACATTGACCTTTCCCGTGAGCAAGCTAGTTTTAAAGTAGTGAGGCACTCGGCAGCAAAGCAAGGTTAGGTCCCCAAATTCATATTTTTCTGGACTGTTTACTTCCAGGGTGTCGCCAAAAAGGCAACACACAGAGAATGACAGACGGTTAGTACAGAATCTAAAGATGGTGTACCCTAGTGGATTTACTTACAGTCTTATTTTCTCATTGCCTAAGAATGTTTATTGATTTAAAACATTTCAGAATACCAGTAGATCAACTAAAATTTCCCTTAAAGAACTAGTCAAACTAGCTGAGTAGATAAGGGGAAAGAAAGCACACTTAATACTTCCTGCTCCACCTCATGCTCTGACTGTATTTACCAAGCCTGGGGATAGGGTAGATGCCACTGGGTACTATCTTTCTATCAAGAATAGGATT